TTGTAAGGTGTTAGCAATATGTAAAGTTTATGACATTTATGTTATTGACAAAAGTACTGCACATTCAAGGTAACATCTCACCAAATAAAGTGCTGTTCTGAGATGGCGCAAACTTAGACAGTACGTTGGCCAGGCTGGCCACAGCAATCTTACCTTATCTGTAGTGTTCGTCAACACTGTACAGGAAATCCTGCATTACAGGTGTTATTAAGCACTACAAGTGATACAGAAAAAACAACAATATACAACAATACATGTATATAAATCTGTTTACGACTACTCACGAGATACAAATCTAAAGCCTTTCATGAGCATAAAACTAACTACAGAGCTTTCTCAAAGAGCTTCTCTTACAGGCGTGAGTGTAGAGCTGGATATCCATTCAGTAGACAGTACTGTCAACCCACTATGAAATCCACTGTGAAAGCTAGTTAGTAGAGCCTACTTTCCCAAAAGTTTGGTACTAGCAGCAAGAACACATCTCTGGAAGAGCAGAGCAATATGTTCAGTGTCAAAGATCTTGTACATCATCATAGATGTTATCACCTTGGCTCTAAAATCTCAAGCATCAGTGAGAGCGAGCTGGCAGGTATAGAGAGAAAGGGGGAAAAAATCCCGTTTTCAAGCCAGATTAATGGTGACCATGTAGAGGTAATAGTATCTGAGGGATAAAGCCACTGAATTCATGCATTTTATTTGTCAGATTCCTAAACGTGTCAACTGTAGTAGTGCTACATTTTTTACACAAGAATACTGTCATAAGGACAAAAATGGGGTCTACAGTTGTTTATAAGCCATTGGCACCTATAAGTTATAATTACTTAAATCCACCACTGAAAGTTAACATTAGAAGAACTGGTGTTAGACAGAAAGTAGCAGAGACTCATTTATGCAAAAATGATTACAAAAGGCGCAAGGTTCTCTGAGACATCAAAGTCAGAGCAAGTGAGACTACAGTGGAAGAAAGTGGTGAGTCCTCAGAAATTATGCAAATTCAGATGCAGAATGAACAGTATAACTCTCACTGAGTAAAGAAGATAATATTTAAAAGGAGAGCTCTTGAACGCTAGGCCAAAGAAATATTAGAAGAAACAGAAGAAAGCAGGTAAATCACTGTTAGGAGAAATAATTGAATATATGCAGAATACCTAGTGGATGAAATACTGCTATAATAAAAAGGTATTGAGTCAGTTTTCAACTGATGAAAACCCTGTGTGGAAATTTCAAAAAAATACGTCAGCAAGTTCAAAGCAAAGGTGGGAAAGTGCCAACAAGGGAGATGCAACAGAAAGATAATTTTTTAAAAAAATCCTCTTTGAGCCCAGTCTTATTCCAGTACCAGCTATTTCACTGACCTTGAGCATCTGGCTGCTAAGTAGTGTGGCCCAACTGGATGATAGTTGTGTGTGTGTTATGGTTAAGAAACAGCAAGTAATGTTACATTATAAGATTGTCACATAAAAGCACATGGGCCTTTATGTGGGTTTCTAGGACAGATTAGCACTGAGTAGCACTGAGCAGGAACAAAGGTGAGATCAGCCACTGATGTTCTCTGATATTCGTTGGTACCATAATTGATGGCATCCATCCAAAGAAAGTCTATGAAACCTTGATGCAGATTGTGTTGCTGATACTGTTGTAGTCCATAATATCTTCAGAGAGCTACAAACTCAGAGAGATGGTCTTATCTGCCAAATCATTGGGCCAGGCACACTTAACATCAGTTGTGTCAAAATGTATACCTGCAGCTGCCCATAGAGGTACTTTACAAAAAAAACCCAAACAACAAAACCCACCAATGCATGAACAACAGAGAGGTCAACCTTAATACTAGAAAGCAATTGAAAGCTTTGCAACAAATTAAAGTTTGGGTTTTTTCACAGTAATTGATATTTAACGATCTTAGCTTTGATTTTGTTTCCTCGGTTTTCTATGGTAAAACATGGATAACAGTATTTTCTCTTTATACAGATAAGGAATATTTTTGTGGGAAACATTACAGTTGTATGAATTTAGTATAAAGTGCAAAGTTTCATAGGACACTGTAAAAGAAAAAAATAGGACTTAAGGAAATGGTGAGAAGAGTATGGTATATATCCATCATGAATAAGGCAGAAGTCCTATGGAAAACAGCATATATGTTCTTGTGCTTAAAACAACTATCTTAATCATATGCATAAAAGAACTACATTAAAATTGAGCACCCTAATTTTTATTTTCTGACTTCTGAATCCTTGACTTTGCAACTTTAATGGTCTTGTTATACATGATGTTGGTTTATTTGGATGTAATGAGAATATAGTTAGGACTGCTCTAATTTTTTATACTTCAATAATTGTAGTTCTGTTTTTGCCTCAAACTACGGCTCATGTCCAGTGGTCTTATTTACAGAGTCCGTAAGATGAGATTGTCTTCCTTCTTGGTCCTTGCCTAGAAACTAAACATCTAGATTATGTTATAGTGCCAGCTTTCGCCCCTCTAGCTTTTGACAATTTTATGAGCTGAGGTTTGGTGATGGTTGTGTAAAACCTATTCCTTTGGTGGTACTGAGTGTGTTATCCTGGGGATATTTTATCTTGTTTTGAATTAGGTAAGAATTCTATTGAAGTAACTATTGTGATTACTACAAAATATAAAACATGAGATCAGTTTGATATATTAATCTATATAACACTTTGCAGTTCTTATATTATTGCACTGGCTGCTGAACACATCAATCTATAGGAAGCTTATTCAGAAAATGATGGATTTTCAATAGCCATGATGAAATAGCAAGCAGAGTGGTTTAAGTCTTCCACTCATGCATTAAGTATGATTTCAAACTTGTCAATAGGTTGGATCAAAATGGATTTTAATTTGAAAATAAAAGGTTGTGTGCTAATAGAAAGCAAATGTACCAATTTTAAATTTCTATTTCATTTTCAGAAGCTGTTTGGATAACTAAATAATGAGATGGATAGTGGGCACCAGGAACAAATTTCTGCAAAGTCTAACACTTTGTGACTGGCTTGGATTGTCCATTTGAGGCAATCCATCCCTGAAGTATTTTATTGCCTTACAATCTTGCTTATATTATTAATGTAAAAAAATCAGTGAGGTAGGAATATTATTGGAATATTATGTTTTTGTTAGGAGTGGTGTTTTTTGTTTTTACAGATGGGGAACTGGGGCACAGAAAGAGACTAAGAGTTTGGCAGATCAATGGAGTACTGTACAGGACACGTAGGGTGTGCATCTTGCAGTATGGATTGACTGCCCTTACACTATTTATTCATGAGTCAGTGCACGGTAGCTTACAAAGTCTCTTCATCATACTGTGGGATATGGATATACTGTGCATACACATAGGAGTCATTATTATTTATAGATTAGTTCCGGTTAGAAAGATGTGACACTATATAAATAATAGAAAGCAAGACAGTAATGTTTCAGGAACTGTACACTCATTTGTTTTAAAACAAAAAGATAGCTGCTTGTTGAACAGCTATCAGAGAGCAGCCAGTTTGGTTCAGGTTCATGTCCTTGCTCCCTTCTCATTAACTGATTGTCTTTGCTTGCTCAGGAGACTTCTGTAAAGGAAGCAAATCCCTCTCAGTTCACTCTAGTCAGTTTTCAGTCTCCTCAAAATTAACCTCACCACATCTGGAAGACTACAGCACTAAAAAATAAAAGCCTGTGATAATCTGTGCTGTCCTAGGAAAACCCCTGCCTCTTAAACTCTCAGTTGGAAATAACCACTGTGAATCATTTGCCAGACGTGCCTTACTCCAAAGGATTACAGCTTTTTTCTTATTTGGGGGATGTAAAAGTTTGCACTGGAGCTGGCCTCTTCTCTGGATTTGTGAAGCTTGAGCTTACAGAAAGGTTGGTGCAGCACGTTTGCACATAAAACTACATACATGCTGTTGGACCTAAGTCGGAGGCCACAGGTGCACTGTGTAGTTATTTTATACATGCAAAATTTGACTGGGAGTGTAGAGGCCTCTGGTCAGTCCTGCACATAGGGCTTCCAACTTCCTAAATCCTGGCAAAAACTGTGGAAAAAATGGTCTAAAAATAAAGCTAAAAGAATCTAGATAACGTTTTCAATGACTGTCATCTATCCATACATATGGGTAGAACTCTTGAGCTGATAATGCATATGACATTTATGGGTACAGGTTACTGCTGGGGAGATTCCAATTGGACACAAGAGGGAAATTTTTCACAATCAGCCATTGGAATAATCTCCCCAGGGAAGTGGTGGATTCCTCAACATTGGACACTTTTAAGATGCAGCTGGACAGGGTTCTAAGCCATCTTGTCTAGTCTGTGCTTTTGCCAAGAAAACTTGGACCAAATGATCCTTGAGGTCCCTTCCAACCTGGTATTCTGTGATGACTTATCCTGCTTTCAGAGTAGTCCTCCTTTGCTCAGATGTACACACAGACACTGGTCCAGCCCAGTTTGCAGAAGACCCTGTCTTGAAAGTATAGCCAATATTTTCTTGATTTTTTTTTTAAGTTCATTAGGTCTTTACTGTAGACAGGTGTCACATTTTTTTTAATGCCTTTAGCTAACATGGTGAGCTTAATAGCTTGTTAAGAAATAATGATTTTTGTTCAGTATTTCAAACACTGAGTGAAGACTATCTGTTTTCTAGTCTGAAATCTTGTACTCTTTTTATATTGATCTGTAATTTCATAAATAGTCCCCTTGAAATTGGATTGCTGATAAAATAAAATGCGGCCTGAATAGGAATAATGTAATGTAGTGCCAACATAAAGCTGTGCAATATGACATATGTAAATGGTTAAGACATATTTTAGTTATCTGGTAATTATTCATGTTTGTACATCAGATGTATATTTTAATATAAACAGGTTCAGAGGGAAAAACAACAACAGTATGGAACAGTGTGTATAGACCATCCACAAACAGAAGGAAAGAGAAGATCTGCTGTTTAAAAAAAAAAAGAAAAAAAAAAAAGTGCTGCATATACAGATCATCAATCAGCGTGAATGGCATTAACAAAGGATTCGTTTGAACAGATTAAGTGGCTTATCACAGCTGCCTGGTGAGTTTTACAGATCACTAATTTTTTTAAGTAGAGTCACTGAGATATTATTCTTAGCTATCAAGTTCACAATAATAAGAAATCACCAGTTAAATCATTTGTTAGCCTGTCATAAATTTGATAACCCTATATGATAATTTATTGTATTTTAATTTAATTGTTGGTCTGTAAGTTTATACCATTTATATTTCAGGTACTACACTATTTAAATAGTAGGAAACAGGAACTATAATTCTGAGTCTGTTTTAAGAGGAAAGCTATTCCTATATTCTAGTAGTGAACATATTTTGGAGAAGAACAATTAATGACCAACTCAAACCTGAATGCCTATCCCAGAATAATTTTGCAGATGAGGGAGAGTTATTAAAAGGCATGAAGAAAACTTTCAGAGGTTATAATGGAAATACCTGCTAGCAGCTGTGGCTGGAGTTCTTTCTGGAGGAAAATGATCCTTCAGAGAAGATTAGGATCACTGTGACCAGGGATTTTCAGAGTGGTGTGTGGGGTCAGTGATTCCATCTCTATAATATCTTCTAGGAAAAAATCAATCCAATTTTCCTTCTTGCTTGAGGTCTTTATAAAAGTTCATGCACCAGGCTCTTTAGGAATGTGAAATTATGCTTTTCTAGCTGGGAACCTGGCCCAGCAAATGTACCTTGCTTGAACCTGACATCCTCACTGCTAGGCAGTCTTCCATTGTGCTAATATGCCTGAACTCTCTCCAGTGTTTTTCATGTTTATCTGGTTTGTGCAAACCCAGACTGCTTGTTATTCAGGTGTCCCCAATGTAGCAGCCTTTTATCCCAGCCATCTCTCCAAGGTAGCTCTTCTTGCCTTTTTTTCTGCATTATTTGTGAACGACTTACCTCTAACAGTCTAGTGCTGATTTGAGTACATAGGCAACATTTTTCTGGCTTCAGGATGCAGGGATTTTGAAATGACAGAGAACAATCTGCCATCACACGTCTGCAGTGTATGACTGGAAAAGGGGATACTGCAGTGCCATGCATCAAGAACATTTCAGTTGTGAAAGGGCTTCATGACTACTTGGCATTTTCTTAAATTAAAAATAACACTTGGCCAATGTTGATATGGGAGAAAATATTTACAGAGACTGTCTGCAAGTTCAGAAGATTAGAAGCAAAAATGGCCTTAAATCAGTAACAATCACAGCACAAACCAATGCTATTGTCTGCTACCTGGTTGAAGTGTTCCTGTGAAGTTAAATCCTTTCCACACAAACTTATTTGATGCATTAAAGGCTGAACTACTGGGATGCACGTTCTCCACCATTTACTGCTGTAGCTGATCATCTGGCCATCTTGCATTGTTTAATCAGTCCTTTGTTTCTGAGTTAGCGAGAGACAGTATGAGCTGCTGTCTTCAGCTACCACTAATTATTTTCATAAATATTTTGTTTCTGTAAAATTTGTGTATTTGAAAAAAAAAGTAGCAGGCAACATAGGTTTTAAAAGTATGTAGAGTAAATGTAAATAAATGGCTAAAATACGTTAAATTTGTCAGTATTGAGTTTATCAGTATATATCAGTGCATATGCAGGTTATGTAATTTGCAGTCAGAATCTATGAATAATTAATAATCAGGGATAGCAATCGTGGGTTTGCTGGAACAGTTCTTAATGCTCCAAAGAGCTGGCCATGTGAATAACAAGTTAAAAATAGAGGTTGATCTCAATAGGACTTTGGGAAATTTGCTAAATGCCTAAGTATTTGCAGGGTTGGAGTAATTTTGATACAGGTTTCACTATAGCCTGGAGAATAATACACAGTAGTCTATAAGTTATGGCCATATCTAGTTTATCATATCATATAATGAGTGATCACCTTTAGTTCTCATTAATAATAATATTAGTATTAATAATAATTAATAATAATGCTTATTTCCTGTATTGTTGCAGAAATTTTTGACTACCATTTTGTTTTACTTTATCTTTTTTCCTCATGTTGGAATCCTAAAAGACATGATTTCAACTTCATAATCCATCACTAGCAATGGTTGGCATGGAGCTGGGCTTCCCCAGCAGCTGCTCTGGAATCACGTGGCTATTTTGAGTGCTGCTTTGCTCCCTGCCTTCTCTTGCTTGCTCTCTGAGCGAAAGAAAACAGAACCAGCTAACTCATTTTGGGGCAGATGCAGATCACCTCCATCTCCGCTCATATGTCACCCCACAGTGTCTGTGGAGGTGCATAAATATGTCTGGAATGGTTTCTCTCTGGCCATTGCTAATTATGGGATTGGAAATAGGTTAAAAGGTTGGAAAATTGGAAATAGGTTACAAGAACTTTTACATAGTCTTATTCATGCCTATCTGTTTTTACTCAGTCTCACAAATCCCAAAAGACAAATACATAGAGCATGTGCTGACCAGTTTGTGATGGTGCATACCCCTTATACTCTTCTACTAAATAATCACCCCAAACAGGACTTAATCATGTGTACACACTTTTTGCTTTTTAAAGGCTACATTTTTGTGAAGGTTGGATGTTGGAGGTTTAGTTTTAATTTAGCTTTCTCCTTTTAAATTAGGTGGCTGCTGATTGTTTTTTCAGCACAAGAAATTGATGGGGTAAGTGACATTGATATTTACTTTAGACAGGTGATAGATAGGATGGTAAAGTTCAAACAAATAGCACTATATACACCAAAATGACCTATAGTTCTATGGGAAAACTGTGATGTTTCTTTCAGTATTTCTGCTGTTCTCACTTTCCTTTCTGTTCCTGTTGCTCAGTTTAACTATTTTGTAATTTTCTGCTTTGGATTCTTCTAGATTCTAACTTTGGCATCTTTAGATGCTTTTGGAAAGCTGCATGTAAAAAAACCTCTCTGATGCACTGAGTCTGTCTCCTTCCTCCTGAAGTCCCTTCAATGGCTCTACATTATAGCATATATCATATTCACTCTAGCGTTCAAGCTCTTCTCTATATGTTAGCCTACATCTTAAACTGGCCTCCCTGCACATTCCCATCTCTCTGAAGCCAAAAATTCACATATAATGTAGTCTCAATATCTACTTTATTTTCCTGTCTGTACTGTCCTCCATATGAAAATTATGTTTGCAATGCCCTCACTAAAACTTCTTTGAAGTCCGTCCTTTGTTTCTTTCAAATATTTAAAAGCTCTTTTTTCTTGTTTTTTTCCCTAAAGTCATCCCTTTTTAGTTGAAAATTGAAGTTTGGGGTTTTTTTTAAATAAATGTGTTAAATTAGAACAAAGGGTAACAGCTTACATGTTATTAGAAACTTGCATTCCATTGACATTCCAGTAGAGGCAAGTTTTTAGTAACTAGGTGAGAGACTAGTGTGGATTAGATTAGTAATTTCATGGGAAATCCAGTGTGTAGGAGAAGGAGTCCGTGCGGGAGACCATCCTACCCTCTTGTTCTGAGGTTTGGGAGTACCAGATATTCTAAAAATATTGTAGATATAGAAAGAACAGAATTTTTCCTCCTTATCTAACATTTGTCAGTGTTTTCTCCTTGAAAAACTGAAGTATGAACCTATTGTGTTCTGTTGGTTATTAAAACCAGTAAAAAACAATGTTGACCTTGATAAAAATGAAATCCACACTGAGCAAATATTTTCATGTTATCACTGTTTACTTGCTGGCCTAAATTATTCTTAAACCTTTTAAGTCCTTGTCATCCTTTTAGAAACCACTTTGATAATTTACACAATTTTGCTGAAAAAATGTCACCTAGTGACATTAGCCATCTAAGTGAGTTTGTAAATGTATATGGTGTGTATAATTGGTATATATACACTTTGGGAAATAGAAAAGAATAGTAAAATCACGTTCACTTACCACACAGTAAATTACTGAATTTACATTTTGTTGTGTATTAGTTTGTCCTCGAATATGGTTGTTTTTTTTCCTCATTGCAATTTGATGAAACAAAGTAGTCACTTCTTTGCTGTTCAGAGGACAATGATGGAAAGTTTTAATACAAGAAATAAGTAAATTAATGGTTGGCAATGCATAATTACACCATACACATACTTCTTTCTTCATTTAACAGACAAGAATTAAATACAAGGCTTTATCGCTGAGTGGGCTTGTTGCTCTTCAGCTTGCTTTGCCTTTTATCATTTAATCGTAGTTAAACAATCTCCTAACCTAATGTGATGGATTACAAATATCACATTATTACAAATTAAATTCTGACTCTGCTAAAATATTTCTAGATGCAGCCTATTTCCTTAGTTGTATTTAGCTGTAATATTTAGCATTACTTAACATAACTTGCAGGTAATGTCTTTCACTGTCTACAGCAACAGTAATAAGTTTTGTTTCTTGCCTCTACTTTGCCAGCATGTTTATGCTGATGAGAGGTCCAAAAAGGTTAGAAGGATTTTAAATGTAGTATTGATGTGTGTATTCTATTAAGCAAGCATTGGAAAATGTTCATATGTGTCAAGCTGAAGTTTGTTGCTATGCCAAGTTTCTTCATCAGCCGGAAATTGTCCTGTGCATATGCAAAGGTAGCCAAATCTTTTGCCTCAAAAATCATCTAATTGGACAATATGTCCAGTTAACAATATTTGATGATGTGATTGTTGTCTGTTCCATATTAATAAATCCATAAACTTTTAATTTTTAGGGAGGATATGCATATATTCACCCATGTGGGGAACAGGATTGTTCAGTTTGCCGGTGCTTTCCAGAAAAAGGATCAAGAGTGAGTGATGATTAGAACTAATGATCATTACTGTGGTACATATTGTTCAGTTTGTGCTTTTTTCTGTTCTTCAAAATCAATATGGTTGACAAATCAATAAATCAATATTCAGACATAAACAAGACTGAATATAGCAAACTAGCGTAATTCTCTCACTGGTATGAAATACAGCTATCGTCAAAGGAAGTTAAGATTGTTTGTAAACAGGTTTGCTGGCTAATTAGGTTTGTAATAATTGTGGTGCCTAGACAAAGGTCACTCAATATATATTAAATTTAGAAATTTACTAATTTCATGAGAACTTAGGTGTTTCTTATTTGAGTTAGGTGATTCTGGAAAAGCTTTCAGACTTTTTATTTTACTAGCTTAAAGTACTAAATATATATATAAAAAATCTGAATCATCTTTGCCTTATAAGTAATTGTAAAACATTGAATGAAGCCAAGGCATTTTCATATTATACACTAAAATTACTAACTGTGCGTGTTGCTATTTGTTAATTGAAATATGGTCCAGTGATGACTAGTTTGTTATCTTGGCTGATTTTTCTCAAAATACATTTCTATATAGCGATAGCAAACAATTTAAACATTATATGAGGAAAGGATCGTATTTGGGTACATGCTCTGATTAGTGAACAACTGAAAAATTGTCAGTGATGGAAACTGTTTTCTTTCAAAGAACTAATGTTAAAGTTTAGGGTTAGAAAGCTTGAACATGGTGGATCGGTTTTTAAAGGACCTGCATGCCCCATTTGTTTGTGTACAACTTGAGTTACCACAAAAGCAAGACACACCTTTTCCTTCCTGTGCTTCTGCAGTTAGCTGCATGCTTTGCTGTGTCATGATCACTGCCCTGGTGTCCTTGGATCCTATCCTAATCCTCCAGGATTATGTCTATATGAAAGTCCCCCATGCTGTAGGATTTTCATAATAGGGGCCTAGGATGCGTCGATCTCTAACACTGTGTTAACAAAAGGGCATCTCAGGAAAAGTATTTTGACTAGCAACATTGCGGTGTCTCTCAGTGCTACCAAAAACCTGATTTGGAGTGTCATTTAAAAACAACCAACTTTGAAACTAGAGGAAATTTCCCTTATTCTGGTTCTGTCACAGTAGCCTGGAAGTTTTGAATTACATGCCCATAATCAGTCAATAATAAATAGTTACTGCAGTCATTATGGCTCTTTCCTAAGCTGTGCTCCCCACCACAGGTAAACTGAAATATGATTTGTGCATTTGCAGTTAGGTTTCTAAATACTTCCAAGGATCTGGACCTAAGTGCCAAATAGAAGTGTAATAAACATTCCAAAATAAACTCAATATCATTGTGCAAATATAAGTCTAAGAATGGTACCATTTTCTGAAACAGCTCTGAAATACATATGCATGCTGATGGATAAAGTCTCTCCAGTGTAATATGAATTTATATTTTATGCAATCATTTCTATCAATATGTAAGAAGTACGTATCAGACCCTATATAAGATATGGCTTAACTAAACATCACTTCAGATAGATTGTTGCAAATATGTTCTATACTAATTTATGGTGATGAATTATTTTCTGTAGGATTATTTAATCTTTTTTTCATCCTACAATCCCATCGATTTCTAAACTTTTCTGTGTTCTGCCTTTACACTCTGACACACTAACTTTGCTTTCCTAGCTTTTGTAGAGACTACCCATTACAAAATAAAAGATTTGTTTATCTTATTGTTAGCTTTCTAGAATGCAAAACATCTGCTTTATCTACTTTTCTGTCTGAATCCTGCATGCAGGCTGGTTCCTCAGAGTTTTGTGTCTTCCTTAGTCCTGTCTTTAAAGCGCGAGAAATAAATAATCATTGAAAGCCTCTGGCATTGTACAGTATGCAAGCCCAAATTTTGAGAAGTTTACAGTTTATTAAATAATCCTTCTCTGTAAAGAAGGTGAGATAAGGGCAACAGTAGAAATTTGGTTGCCTAGCCCCATGGTTTTTTTCCCTTTTCACTATTTAGCACAGCCTAGCTGTCACAATCAAGGATGAGCTGTCCCCCTCAGCAAACACTTGCTGAAAACACAAAAAGATTCTAGAACAGTCATGTAGTTGCTGGCAAAAGGCAATAGAACAATAACCTTATCCAGACTACCTGGAAAGCCAACCTTATAGCAGCCCTCAAAGTTAAAAAGTTTTTATTCAGCTCTGTTATACCACTGCAGTATCAAGAGCTTTTGCAGAGGCTGAATGAGAAAGGCGACGTCTGAGTGAGCTACATCAGTATATGTATTGAGTTACATTGATATATGTAGACTGGTCCACCTATTTTTTATTTTTGTTTTTTGTTTATTTTTTCATCTCTTTTACCACAGGGAGTCAGTTGTAGCGTATTCCCCTCATGATCTTCAATTGAACATGGTAATCTAAGACTTACAGGGGAGCAAGGGCAAATTGTCTCATTATTGTACTGCTAAGGTATCATCTATGTTAGAAACGCACAAGGTCAGACCTATTATGAATTGATTAAACATGTTATTCAAACTCTTCCAAGAACTGCAACCAAATCCTTCATTAGACTAGCTGGAACATGACCATTTGTATGTTATTCTGAATCTTTGTTGTTGGCTGAATACTTCCAAATAGAGTTCCAGTTTCAATGGAAAGTTTCTGTTAACTTTTATCTCCCCTAAAAACCGCACTGGGGCAGAAGCTGTTTAGCAAAGTGCATTATTTGTAACACACCTGGTGGAATGCATAGGAATCATTATCCATAGGAAATACGCTCACGTTATCATAATGTAGACTTTGTGCTAGACAGATGTCGTAGGTCCAACTTACAAGTGATATTTTAACATCTGAATAAGAACCTAAGCAGTTTGTTTTGCACATTCCTAATAGTCACTTCCTACATCCTTCTCCACAGACTAATGAAAAGATTTTTGAGATGTCAGAATATCTATCTGCTGATAAAGCAGCAGTTGTATAGTTTCAAAGTTAAGGTGTGCCCATCTGATAAGCGTTTCACTTTGTCAGCAGACTGTGAGGAAAATATTGTTGCTAGTTCCATTTGACAGATTTTTGTTGACATATAAAACACTATGACGGGTATTTGATGACATTGCCATTTCGCAGATTTTAGAATGTTCCTTTTTAGACTTTCAGTGGAAGCATTGCCCACTGGTAATTTAGCTAGTAAAGTGAACAAACGTTATTTCTATGTTTGGAGCAGACTTATAGTCAATCCATGACAAAGATTTATACTGAAATTAAGGTAGAACAAAAGTTTTAGAGCTGATATAAATCAGCTTTGTTTATTTGTAATTACTAGTGACAAGTGAAGTGTGTTCACATTTTGTAAAACTAAAACCATTGTAAGCTGCATATGACATAACTGTAGCCCTTAACCTTAACATATCGCCACTAAAATAGTAAAAACCTAGAGAATAGACACCTAAAATTAAACTTCTAAATATATTTAGGTTTATGAGTTAAGTAGAATGGTTGTCAGGAGTGTGGTATACTCTGAAGTTTCCATGGGAAATTTGGACTTTAAATCTTGCCGTACTGTTTTTGGCATAATGACCTTTCGTTCCATCCAGGTTTTGAATGCAGTTTAAGTATGATTAGTTAAAGCTGTGGCTACCAGGACAGTGTAAGAAAACTGTGCAGCTGACTCTGAATGCAAGTGGAATTAAATCTTTGCCTTCTAGCTGCCCATTTGAAAATCTTTTAAATGTCAACATAGAAAGCTTTCTTCACTGTAAGTGGGCAAGATAATTGAGGTTTTAGCTAGAGAAAAGATGACCATGGGAGTATGAAAAGGAAAATGCCATGGCCGTACTCAAATGTATTGAAATTGGGCAAGTTGGAAGAAAAGTAGAAGCAAATAGCTGAACTTTTATTTAATATTAATATAAAACCAGTATACTTATGCATTGTTTGCTATATTGGGTTTTAGAACAGCTTGTATACCTGTTGTTTTTTCTTTCTCTCAGCTTCAGATAACTCTGTGCTATAAACAGATTTGCACTACTATTCATTAGCAAGAAATCCCTGTCTGAAAAACATTCTGGTCACTATTGCTAGTGGTATATCCCATTCTCGTATCATTGCAGTTGTCCACATCACAATGACAGTTTGACTTCTGTTTAATCGGAATTACAGCCTTGTTGGAATTAGTTTTATGTTATACTATTTATCTCTTGATCTTGATGTCACAATTCAAAAGGATGCTACTATACATATTCATTTAAGAACTACAGAACAGATAAATGAGGCGGGGAAAGTCACTAGTGAAAGTTTATGTGCCAGTAAGCATTCTACATGATTCTTGGTGCCAGCCCGGAACAACTGAGACTTTCTCCTGCCTCTTCTTTTCCAGTCAAGACGGATGGTCTTCCATGAGGCAGTAGCAATGTTAATGTTTTTAATTAGAGACAAACAGCAACTTTGTTGTTTTAGATTTTTCTCCCCTCTTTCTCTTTGTTCTCCCTGAAAGTCCATGATTTTAATTTTCTCCTGAGATGTCCAACAGACAGTGAAACCTTTCCTCCATTTCCCCCTCTTTCTCTAACTTGGGAAGTTGTTTCCTTGATAGCTCCTGCAGTGTTGTTTCAGAGGCCTCCAAAAATGCTGGCTGCTCTAACAGAATTTAGATAGTTAAAAAAATGTTTGCAGTTAGCACTGACCGATTGTAAATTTGTCCTGTGCCGACCCCGGAGTTTGATCCCATTCAATTCCTTTGGCTTTGTTTATAGAGTTAAGTAGATTTAGAAAGCAAGCGTCTATTCATGACCCAACCTGATCTAGCTTCTATGAGATCATGTGAAATGCCTGGAGCAAAGTGAATAATAAATATAACTCAGCAAGACCAATGTTCGTTCTTTTGCAGATGAAGCAAGTGGCCTATTTTCATGCTAGTGTAGGAGAGAACCTAGCAAACAGAAATCTAAGAGGGAGGTCACATGTTATCTGGCATACGAGGCGTAAGGAGTAAGCTAAGGATTCACAAGAGATACTAAG